TGGAAAAGTAGCTTATGTTGAAAGGCTGACTTTAGTATAATGCGGCAGTTTTGACAGTTTTACTATCCGAGTCCGAGGAATACGGGATTGCACCGTATTTACTCTCTTTTTTGTCCTCTCAATAGTCAGAGAACCGAGTACGGGATCGATTTCCAGTAAAATCTGACTGATTCTGACTATTTCTGACTAGTCCGGACTCGTACGGGATCGCAACTAATATTTTACATTAAAGATTTTTATAATATATTTTCTGGGAAGTAGAAAAAGTGGAAGGTATTTTATGTACAGATATGTATGTAAACGAAACTACTAAGTATCATATTTTTTCTATCGGTTTCCAAATATTTCTTTTTTTGCTTTTCTCTTATCAAAAGAGTTTTAAATATGTACTATTTTTTTGTATAAAAACAAAAGCTCATCTAAATTTTTGGTATTAGCAACGGGCTTTTTCGTGCGTATTCGTGCTTTTATGAAATTTTACTCAACGCCCAGGCACGCACGAGTTTGTGCTGACAGCAAATATTCCGGCCCGTACCCGCGGGCTTACGCAGGGGCCCGTTGGGGCCCTGCCAAAAGCCCGGCCCGTGCCCATCTCTAGTCCGGAGCATCTCTGGTTGCATCAAAAGCTTCTTGGCTAGAAAAAAAAATTAATAATTTTATACATACACTGCCGGAGCAAAGTATTGGTACAGTAAATTTTTCACAATATGTGCAACAATTTTTATTCTAATATTTTCCCGTCAATTTTGTGTATAAATATGGTTCATTATACAACAAAAAACATAAAAATATAATAATTCCTAAACTTTGTGCAAAACGCGCGAAAATTCAGAAAATTTTCAACTTTTTAATCAGATTTTTTTCCTAATTTTTTTGAGTATGCAGTTTTGCAGCCCATTAAATTCTAGTAAAAAAAATGCAAGCTCGGAGTTAGTCATTCGCCAAAAACATATGTATGTATGTATGTATGTATGAATATTTCCATATATGTATGTATGTATGTATGTATGCAAATTTTTTTCCCGCTATGAGAATTGTCTCGCAATTCCGATGATGGCAAGGAGTTTCTGTATCTTCCTTAGACGGCCAGGTTGATCATATGTTGTATGCAAATACCAACGCGAAGTCAAATGAGCGTCCTTCCAATCTTTTGATCTATCATAATTCATAATAGGCAATTTACGCATTCTGCCTTCCACACAAAATCACATGCACAGGTGTATATGTACTCGTATCTATGTATGCACTTCCAATGACACATACCGACGCAAGCTTTTTCCGGCCGAGCGAAGGAGCCGGAACTACCTCAGTCATAATTTGAGAGCTCTTGCGTCGTTACGAAAAATTTGACTCTGTGCGCGTCCGGTTTAAATCATTGAAAAAGTGGTAAAAATTGGTGAAATTTATTTAAATTGATGTTATTTCAATAGCTTGTATGCTAATGCATGTGTGTAAAGTAAAATTGAAAGTGTGAAATATGAAAATGAGTAAAAGAAGAGTGTTTGAAAATATTTGGCAAATCTCTGCCAAGTGCATGGTATGAAAAAATGGCCGCAGCCATTATGTGCTTTGTTGTTGCAAGGCTTGCGCCGCAGTAGCAGCGCGCCATTTGGCGGCAAATGCTGCAAAAGCTCCTATATTTCGCCTGTGAAAGCTTGCCAGTTGTGTTGTTTGTGTTTTTTCATGTTTCCTGTTTTCAAAAAGCATTAGTAATGTGTTGTGCTTAATTCGCATTTGCAGTGACATCATGATGCGCATAACAGAGTGTCTGTATGTGCCTACTGCAGTTTTGAAACGAAAAATGTATTACGCATTCAACTGTTTTGTGTTTAAAGGTAAGTGTCGCTTAAACATACTAATTAATGAACATACATTTAATTACATACACTTGTGATCAGCTAATTAAGGGCCGGTTGTTCAATGTCTGGTTATCACTACCACAACACTATCGACAATTTCGACATCATGCATGTAACATGTGATCGATAAAGCAGTAGTTGTGCTTAACCGGAAATTCTACCTCCGATTTGTGCTAATCAGACATTGAACAACCGGCCCTAAGTCAGCAACATTTTAATAAATTTTGGCTATATTGCTTTCGTTTCTTTAATGTTTATTATTTTTCCATAAAAGTATAGCTCATTATATAACAAACAGTATATAAATCCAGATTCCAAATTTAGCTAAATTTTCAACTTTTTATTCAGATTTAGTAGAAATAAATTCGAATTTTTTTTTTGTATGAAAAAAAAAAATGCTTCATGAAGTCAGAAAAAAAATTATTAAAAATCAACGCGATTCTTTAGCAACTTAAGACTTGCACATTATTACTAGCCAAAATTTATCAAAATGTTGCTGGCTTACTTAGCTGATCACAAGTGTACATACATTTTTAATTGAATCTATTGATGAACGAATTTTTGATTAACGTTTGACAAATGTGCATACATATTTATGAATGTACATACAATTCGTCGTTTAAAGTACAAAACCCGTATCAATAAAATGTAAAACCGCGTATGTGAGGTTGCATAAATTATTTTCCAGAATGTAAAAACACTCATATTTAAAAACGGTTCTCTGTTTTATAAATCAATCACATTTCTGGCTACAAAATTTCAGGACAAATCGATAAGGATTGTGCCAAAAGCTTGTGTGAGCAAATCAGGAATAGTCCTCCAGCTCAAAACTTTAGTAACAATTTTGTCATTAAAGAAAAATTTGAATTTGGCGGTGTAACCGAGGCAGAAGTTTTGAGGCTTCTTATGGGTATCGAGTCCAATGCCATTGGTGAGGATATCATATCCTTGAAATTTGTGAAGATTGTGTTGCCATTTATTCTGGGCACACTAACCCATGTTATCAATCACTGCTTCATAACAGAATTGAAGAAGGCTGTAATAATTTCCTGTTGCCAAAAAGAGTATTGCTACTAGCCTCAGTTATTATAGGCCGATAAGTATATTGCCAGCTTTTTCGAAAGTGTGTGAGTAACTGATAGCAGCGCAAATATCATTATTAATTCAAAAAAATAATCTGTTATCCACACTGCAGTCAGGGTTTTGACCTAAGCATAGCTGCACTACGGCTATGCTGAAAATTCTTGATGACATAAGGATACGACTTGACAATAGCGATTTAACTCGTCTTTGCCTCCTGGACTTTTCTAAAGCATTTGACTTACTAAATCATGACCTTCTTTGCAAAAAGACTAAATATTTGTTTGGATTTTCTGACATCTCTATTAAACTTATGACCAGCTACCTTGCGGGGATACCGCAAAAGGTAATCTGATTCTCCCTAAATACTCCTACTTACCCTCATCAAGACTGTTCTTCGTTAATGATATGGGGCTCTGGAATTCCATTCCTGAATCTTTCAAGGCTGTTATAAATACTACTAACCTTGTAATAATTCATAATTATTTTAATGCTTTATGATGAATGTGATTGTGATATGGCTGTTCTATTTTCTGTCTCTGTGTCTCTTCTCTTAATTAATCAAATTTCTGTGTTCCAATTGTGTATTTAATAAAAACGACAGTTTTAATTTTAGTTAATTAATTTTTTTTTTAATTTTAACGGGTGATTGATTTAGTATTAAGTGTTTTAAATAAATATGTATCGTCGTTTAAAGTACAAAATCGCGTATAAACAAAACGCATATTTCAAAATAGTTCTATTTTTTATAATGCAATCGCATTTCTGGCAAGTTTATTTCAGGATGTATGGATAAGGATTGACCCAAGAGCTTGTGTGAGCAAATCCAATTTTTGGCAGCAAATGTCAGTTACGCAGGTTTGCAGAATGACGATACACACTAGACTTTTTATAGGAACTTTGCAAAGCAAAGTTTTTATAGCTCAAATGATGTCTGGATACACAACATTGCAAGTTGGTAAAAGCGTTGTAATCAGTGTTGCCGTTTTATCCCTTTGGTGGCTAGATTTAGCTACCACATAATTTTTTTGGCCACATAAATTTAAAATTGCCCCTAGCCCTTTTTTTAGCCCTTTTTAGAATTTATTCATACTTGGCATGAAAAAGTTGTATATGCTTAATTTGTTATTTTTTTGCATTTATGTAAGAGATGAATTTTTAGACTAAGAAAGACTGATATATATACATATATGTATTGTATGCTCCTTACGCTTTTATCCTGTAAAAGTGTTGGGGCTGTTAACTTATCTGTTAACGATTTAACTATAGTTTAAAATAGATAAGTTCACGGCCCTTATTATGCTAAATTTGAAAAACGACCCATCAAGTCGATTGACCGTGTATGTTCTTGTGGTGTGGTTGTACCAGCCAAAGAACGTAAATCTATCAGAGACAACACGTTATAATTGTAACGAGTGGGAACATCAGGAGCGTGCTTTCTGTTTTGCCCAAAAACGTTTTGTGATTGGATGAAAAGAGAAGGCACGCTCCTGATGTTCACTCGCTACAATTATAACTTGTTGTCTCCTCTTATAGATTTACGTTCTTTGAACCAGCATACTGGTGTGGTGAGTGGTGAAATTAGCTCAATTTTCTAAGTATGAGTCAAAGCCGTGTTTGTGGAAGATTACGTTCACGATATTGCAGATGTGAATTCCAAAAAAAAAACAATGCTTAAAAAAATTATAAAATTTCGGGTCTAATCATATCGATCTTTCCTCGACCTCACTTTTAAAGAAATAAATATTGTACCAGCATGCTGGTAAGTTGTATGTTTCGAGCCTGATGGTAACCAGCAAGCTGGTGTCGCATATTTCCCCTTTTATACAAAAAGGTTTTTGGTTGGATAAAATTATAGCTTTTTTTCCAGAGTTTTATTTTTGAAATGAAGTAAAATTTCTTCGTAGATTTTTAAATACATTTTCCAATGCGTTCTTTGAATATAACGGAAAATGCATACGATAAAAAATGAATACTAACTACGTACTCAAAACGAAATATGATTCATTTGCAGAATTTTTACGTCTCCATCTCCTCTTCATTTTCTGCATCGCTATCCGTTTCATTTTCACTGTCATCGTTGTCTTCGCCATCCTGGTCCATATTTTCAACGATGTCTTCAGGATCTTCATCCCATTCATCGTCGGGTGAACTCTTTTCGCCAGCATCCTCCACTTCAGAATCTGAGGAATCTGTAATACATTTTCCAATTAAAAGATTATATTCGAAAATTCCTTTACTTTTAGTATACCATTGTCTTCATACACTAATGCATTTGCAGTGTATAAGTTGTCTTCGTTCGTGTTGCGTTTTATTTGATTAATCAACAAATCCAGACGCCCAGCGACTCTATGAATAAATAATTAATCACAACTTCTAAAATGTAGAAAATAAACTAACTTTGATAATTCTTTAAGACAATTTACACGATGTTCAATTATTCCTATACAGGGACCGAATTTATTTAACAGATCTTCAGAACCTAAAGCCATGAGTTGACTGGAGTGCGTCTGAACTAGAATTTTCAGCCAATCCACTGCATATTCAACACTGGAAAATAGTATTTTAATTCGAAATGTAATGGAGAATCAATTTTATTTGTGGAAGAACTTACTTCATGCGTTTCTGCTGCATGAATTGCGTTAACTCATTGACCAATGGGCCCACATAGTGCACGGGTAATTTAAGGAGTGTCAGTTGTATGGTTTTAATGTCGTGAGTATGCAATACAGAACGTAAGAGTCTATGACAAAAAGGGCAAATTATTAATAGAAGAGGTAACTAAAGCTTTCCACAACATTGCTGGAAAGAAAAAAAAATCATTAATACTTACACATTGTCTTTGCTATGCAAAGCCTGGACGAGCAGCTGCACTTTGCTTTGTGCTTGAGGCGCTCCTCCGCCTGGTATTGCATTTATGTTCAAATTTTGTAAACGTGATTCCATCGGCATTTCAAAGGCCTTCAACTTCTTTCTTGAAACTGTCACTGAGGACTTGTAGTTTACATCGGCTTCGTTGACAATAGGTGTGACGGTCTTTTGCGCGACACCGAGTTTGGCATCTTTTTTAGATGCTTTTCCTTGCGTCAGATAAAGAGATTTTGGATCGGTGCGGATTAAGACTTGCAACTTTTCTTCGAAATTTGGTGTTAAACGTTCGAACACCAAGAAGCTGGAGCTTCCATATCCAAAAATCAATTCTTGTGGACGATAATTGTGCTGTAAGGAGACTGAAACGACTGGTATTGGAGCAATCACGGTGGTGCTATCTGATGCCAATTTTATCGTTAGTTTTGGTTTAATGGGTTTTTCTGCTTTTACGCTGCAATGAGATTACAAAACTTAATATGACTAGAAACTAAACACTTTTAACTAACTTGTCTGCAGCAATCAGGTACATGTGAATAACACCGCTTCGTGTTACACTAGCCACTCGCAAATTGCTCTCATTATCCACGTGGCTAGTGAGACAGTGTGCCACGTCTTCCATGAGAAGAGTGCAAGCTGCGCTTTTATTTCTTCCTTTTTTACCAACATTCCACAAACATATTATGCGGTCCATTCGTGAAGTGCTTAATATATATTCGACGCTGTCGTCTAACACTAGTGAACTCATTAAATTTATATCTGACGTATGTCCGGTAAACGTTTGCACTAATTCCTGCGAAGCCACTGAATAAACTTTAATTTGTCTGCCTCCAACTATTATATTGTTAGATTTTTTCGTGTAGACAATACTATATGGCTTTTCTGTGCCCACCGACCATGACGACAGCTGCTTTTCGTCCGAAAGTGACCACACAAGGATCTGACAATCTTCCCCGCAGCTATAGAGGTTACCTTTATCATCTTGTGTTAGACAAGTGATTTTTCCACTATGCCCTTCGCCCTTTAAAGTTCTTTCAATCTAGAATAATAAACACATGTATGTGCGGAACTATTTTGCTTGTAATTAACATATCGTCGTTTAAAGTACAAAACCACGTATCGTCATTCTGCAAAACCGCGTAACTGACATTTGCTGGCAAAAATTGGATTTGCTCGCACAAGTTCTTGACTGAATCCTTATCCATTCGTCCTGAAATATACTAGCCAGAAATACGATTGCTTTATAAAAAGAAAACAATTTTGAAGTATGAGTGTTTTTACTATATAGAAATTAATTTATGCAACCTCACGTACGCGGTTTTGCATTTTGTTGATACGCGGTTTTTTACTTTTAACGACGATATATAAGTATGCAGTATATCATTTTATCTTACCTTGCCCAAAGCATAAGAATAAAGCGAAATGTGGCCATTGCTTGTCCCTAAAGCAAGATAATTTGCTTCAGAATCTTTGGTTAGGCCCGTATGTGACTTTCGAGCTTTCTTGGACTACCAAGTTAACAAAAAAAATGAAAACAACAATAAATGTGTATATAAAAAAAAATATATGTATATTTCAAACCTTCCTTCCTTCTGTTAGTTCACAGCTTGAAGAGGCGACAATGACCCACGTGAGTGCGGTGCATGGGCCAGACAATTGCAGGTTTGGCGTGTACTCTTGTTTTAATTCATTGGTCTCTGTGTCCCATATCCGGAGGATTCCCTGATCGTTAATAAAAGCAAATAATTTACCATCAGGAGAAAAGCTCAACACGTGTTGTGGTCCCAAAGCCATCGCGTCCGTCCTTTTGAAAATACCAATGTAAAAACAAATTCAGTTTTTGTCAAATTTAAGAGATGCTTCTATTAGTTATAGAACGATACGAGTATCGAGTATGGAATTTCGATACTTTTCATGAGTACTGAGTAGTATCGAGAGCTCGATCCTTTTCTAGAACTTGGTTTCAAGTTGATCACACATACTGCTACACGAAATTCATGACTTTGAAGTTGCCTCACGACTTGAAATGAAAAATTTATATCAAGTCGACGTTCAGGCTGTAAAAGTGCGAGTGTGTTAGTAAAAAGTGTGAGTGCAACTTGCTTTACACTTCTCTATCTCTATCTCGCTTGCGAGATTTCCAAGCGTGTGAAGACGGCCGGTAAAGGTGCAGTTAAACGTGGCAATCCAGGCGCATTTTCTACATGAACCAAAAATACAAGATCACGTAAGATCGCGACGTTGTATTTGTAACTGGTTTTGAGAAAAAAGTTTGCGAGCTGAGCGTTTGTTTACATCACAAGCACCACTATTTAACAATTTTATTTAAGTAAAGAAGAGTTAATAGAACATGACAACACATTTTCAAGCATTTTATTGTATCATTTTACCTAAATTGTGCGTTTAAAGTGGCTGACAATAATTTTGGCTAATTTTGGTTTTCGTTGTTTTCTTTGTTTTGTTTACTTTTCGCTCGTTTTCCAGTGAAACAAGATGGCGTAGAACCCGCTAGAAAAGTCGACTTCTTTCACTCTTTTGTTCTTACGAGATCTTGTGTCTTTCGTTCATGCATTTTCTACGTTTTTTGACGGCAAAATCGCAAAGCGAAAGTCTACTTACCCGTGTAAACAGCCAGAAAGTCCTTTTTGCAGGTTTGCAGAAATCGGTTTCGGAAATAAAAATTGCAAAGTGTAACTGCAACTGAAATTACGCAAATCGCTTGCGAGAAATAATTTCAACTTGCTCGTGCTGTACTAAAAATTTAAATTTTTGCTGCAAGTGCTGTCAAACTAATCGAGTGTTGCCGTCTGGCGTGTTTTTTGTCGAATTTGTGTAACTTATAAAAATGTTGAGTAAAATATGAAAAGTACGTTAATAAATTATGTAAAATTATGTATGTGTTAAGTATTTATGTATTAATATATTAGACATTTTGTAACTGTTTTGAGCACATACATATTTTTCGCCAACTCGATTCCAATTTTGCTTCACGTAACAGTAACACGTAACAGCAACAGAAATACATGAATCAGTGCTTTGATGACATCGCTTAGTCAGTATCGTTTGAACATCTATCGTTTCAAAGTTACGTGATTCATGCCCTTGAAAATCGCCTCATGTGAACTTAATTCAGTCTTTTTTTTGGGGGTTTTTAATATGATGGACAGGGTGGTACAGAGACCATATTGCCAGATCGGTTCACAAACATTCCCACGACAGCCGGTTCTACGTACCGGAATGACTCGGGTTTTACCTGACCAAGGGCTGTTGTTTCGGCGATCTAACCCCGTTTAGGTCGGCGAAGTATCTCAGAAGTTGTTCGTCTATAGGGCTACATTTGCTACGTTTTCTCCTACTCAGGGCTGGCATCGAGTCAAACCCATGGCCAGAAACCTACACCTGCTGTGTATGCCAGAGACGACTACACCACAACTCCACCTCTGTCAAGTGCAATGCTTGCGAGGGGTGGAGTCACCTCAAAGTCTGCTCAGGACTACGGACGCATAGGCAGTGGACCACGTCTTTTGTGGCCCCCTGTTGCTCTAACAGAGCAGCCTCCACGGCTAACCCCAGTCCACCTGAGCAGTCCCACACAAACATCAAAGCACAACAACATAACACAATAGACCACACCACAACGGCTACAGACCACAGAACACACACAACCACACCACCACCCACACGCCGCCGCCAACAACTCCTGGTTCCTCCTACAATCTGCACGGTATGTTAGACCAGGATATTCCGTAATGTGACATCAGTCAAGTGCAACACCTGCCTTGGCTGGTGCCACTTTAGGGCATGCTCAGGTCTGCGCACCACGCGAGATTGGACAAGGAACTTCGAGGGCCCGTGTTGCGCTGCTCGGTCGCAGACGTCAACTGCGACGCCCCCGCCACCACCACAGGGCGGCAACCACCTCAGCAGCGCACACAGCCAACTGCGGCACGACCACACACATCCCTCACACCCCGCATCCCGACACGTCTCCCGAACCACATGAAGCTCCTTCAATTTAACTGTAACGGGCTTCAGAGCAAGATCGAGGAGATAACCGTCTTCATGGGAAGGCACAGCATATTGATAGCTGCGTGCCAAGAGACCAAGTTGCACAGCAACTCAACACTGTTGAATTGTGCCGGGTACAACGTGCACCGTCGAGATCGCGAGCGAGATAATGCTGGTGGCTTAGCGTTCATCACGCACCACACCGTGCAGTATCGTCTTATCGAAGCAGACATCGGCCGCAGGGATACCACCCTAGAATGTCAGGGCATAGCTATCCGGTCAGGCGATGTTGAGCTCGAAATATTTAACGTGTACATACCCCCTGTCACCTGCTGTCCGGCAGGATATCACCCTGACATAGGTGCGCTACTCAGAGGTGAAAACCGTATGGTAGTAGGTGACTTAAAAACGCTCCACGATCTTTGGCACTCAAGCCTGTCAAACGATCGTAGGGGAACTGACTTGGGTGAGCGGATAGCCAATTCGACATTCTGCACAATGAACGACGACGCACCCACTAGGATTATGGGCAGCTGCTGCAGCTCGCCATACATAACAATAGACAGCGCTGGTCTGATAAACAGCACATCATGGCGACCTATGCTGACTTTGGCATCAGACCACCTGCCCATAGTCATCTCGATCGATAAATCAACCGACTTTGCTTCCGCGGAGCACCGAACATATATCAACTTTTCTAAAGCTGATTGGAAAGGCTTCGCGGAATTTACTGAAAACAACTTCGCTGCCCTCCCCACACCAACCGACCTCCACCTTGGTGAACGTAAGTTCCGCAGGGCTGCCACCGATGCTGCAGCTCGCTTCGTACCGGCAGGATGTATCACCGACCCACGCCCAAATTTCCCTGCTGGAGCGGCTGTTCTTGCCGATGAGCGTGACAGCCTTCGTCAGGCCGATCCCGGAGATCCCCGTATCAGGGATCTCAACGCGGAGATTCGGCAACTAGTAAACGTACATATGCGGAAGAAGTGGGAAGAGCATCTGAAGACCTGCATCTTCACCTCTGGTGTGAGTAAGCTTTGGTCAACCGTGAGGTCACTGTCCAATCCGACGAAGCACGACGACAGAGTCGAAATTTCTTTCGGCGACCATGCTTCATCGGACCCAGAGCGATGCGCGAGCTATTTTAGCCGGCAGTTCATATTGCATACTCCGGTGGACAAAGCCAAGCGTCGAGTGACCAGAAGGCTGCACAAACTGCCAACAACCTGTGCCCCCCTTGCTTTCACTTGCGGTGAAGTTCAGGTGGCCATCGGGAAGGCGAAAGCCTCCAAAGCCATGGGTCCCGACGAAATATGCATGCTGATGCTGAAAAATTTGCGTCCTGCGGGGGTAGCGTACCTAACGGAGGTCCTCAATTTGTCCATGGCCACTCTCATCATCCCAGATATGTGGAAGGTGGGGAGAGTGGTCCCACTGCTCAAACCGGGGAAACCAGCCAACATAGGAGATTCTTATCGTCCGATAACACTCCTTTCCCCGGTAGCGAAGACACTCGAGTCCTTGCTACTCCCGTATTTCACAAACCACTTGACCCCAGCGAAGCATCAGCATGGTTTCCGTAAAGTGCACAGTACAACAACAGCACTTAACGCCATAAACACTCAGATAACTCGTGGCCTTAACCGTAAACGTCCCTGTGAGAGAACGATTCTAGTAGCGTTGGACTTGTCAAAGGCTTTTGACACTGTCAGCCATTCCACGCTACTAGAAGATATAGAGGCTTCCTCTCTCCCACAGAGGCTCAAAGGGTGGTCGGCAAATTATCTAAGTGGTCGACACTCGTCGGTAATGTTTAGAGACAAATCGAGCAAACTTAGAAAAATAAAACAGGGGGTTCCACAGGGTAGTGCCCTTTCCCCACTACTGTTTAACTTTTACATTTCAAAGCTCCCTCAACCACCAGAGGGAGTCTCGATTGTCTCTTACGCCGACGATTGCTCGATCATGGCGACTGGGAATGGAATTGATGACCTGTGTTCGAAAGTAAACGGATATCTCTCTGAACTTTCTCGCTTCTTCACTGCAAAGTGTCTAGTCCTCTCCCCTACGAAATCCTCTGCGACTCTGTTCTCAACCTGGACGAAGGAGGTCAGGCTACCGCTAGGAATTCACATCGATGACACACCAATTCCGACGGTGAATAATCCTACAATAATCGGAGTAACATTCGACAGCCTGCTCTCCTTCTCTGCGCACGCAACCGCTATTGTCAATAAAGTAAAGAGTCGCAACAAGGTCCTCAAGTCGCTAGCCGGCAGTACTTGGGGCAAAGACAAAGAAACGTTGCTGGCAACATACAAGGCAGTAGGCCGGCCGGTTTTAAATTACGCAGCACTAGTGTGGTCGCCGGGGACTAGTAGGACGCAGTGGACGAAGCTACAGACGGTACAAAATACAGCACTTAGGAAAGCGACCGAATGCCTCCTGATGTCACCAGATGAGGCGAAAATGCTCCCAATTAGGGAGCACAACACGATGCTCTGCAAGCAGTTTCTTGTTGGGAGCCACAGATGTGGCCACCCAAATAGACAGCTGCTTGCAGAGGAGCCCTCGTCGAGACACGTCAGGAGGCATCTATATGAACTGACGGACGAAGTCCAGAGGTTCATTAAGCAGCCTCTGGATCCGTCAGCTCACAGACAGGCCCTGAAGAGCATTCACAGGGACGCAGTCTCGAGTTATGTAGACTCAAGACCTGTGACACCGGACATTGACGCGACGGAGCTCCATCTGCCTCGGGAGACCAGAACAACAATAGCCCAACTTCGCTCTGGCTACTGCAGCAGGCTAAATTCCTAACTAAGTAGGTTAAATGCGGATGTGCCAAACGAATGTCCGGCATGCGGA